ATAAGCAATGTCTCATGTCTGAACATATCATTTGATGGGACGAGGGTCTCTGTCCATTGCATGTCGGGTTGCAATCGCTGTTGACTACTCCGCTCCCTTTGTATGAACAATTAACCACGGAAAAGACTATTCTGACCGCATACGCCACTGTGCAAGTTTCACGCGCGGTGTGTACTGGGAAGATATCTTGGCGCTTCCTGTGATGCGCTCCTCCATTCTTCTTGGCACGAATCCTACTCGTCGGTCAATCACTTCAGTGCTCGGGTTAAGAACCCCACTCCTTAACAGACGCAAGGCTCTTCAGTGTTATGTTCAAGAGTGAATATTTAAACATCTTATCGATCCTCGTGTACACTAAACTGAGTTCGCAACGTAAGCGCCTAGCTCAGGCAGTTGACACCAGTGGTGACTCACCACCATCATAAGACACACGTATGACGTTACATACCGGTCGATACTACAAATGATAAGATTGATAATTGAGACATTGACTCTACCGCCAGCCTATCAAAACAGGCTGCTACAATGCAATAATAAAATGTCACCATCAGCTGGTGGATGAGTAGGTGAGAACAAACCGGGGACAGAATTTTTACTCAGGACCAGCGAACCACGTAAAAACAGAAGACCCATAAAAATATTAACTTTCGCATCGGACTCCCAGTTGCTGATATCTACTAAATATTCACTTAACAATCTCGCACTCCACAATCTTCGTGACCGTGTTGGGGATAACCAAGAGTCCTTTGGAAACAACGTCATATGTAGCGGTGAGCATCGTAGAGTCGTAGTAGCCGTGGGAGTCGTTTATAAGAGCCTTACACGGGTCTTGAAGATTGAGAAACCATACTTTCCATTCGGGATGAGCCGTGAAGCCACACCCGTAACTCGACTTAGCTAGAATCGCATTCGGCTGTCTGTAGAATGTGATATTCTTTCCCTCAGAGTTGTCTTCGATTTTGACTCTGCCGATCAAACCCTTTTTGCAGATGTACTCCCCGACGAACGGATACGGCTCCCTTTCTGTGGAGGCAGGTCCGGCACGGACCAGAGGCTTCTCAGAGCCGTTCTGGTGTTGATGAGGACTATCCTCAGACACAACTTCGCGGACGAGGAAGGACATCAGCAAGGGACGAAGGAGCAACATAAATGGAAAATTGGATGCTGAGCATAAACCAGTATCACACATGACGATATTCTTCCGAGTTAACCCGTATAAGTAAAATTCAGACTGACGCCCTAGTCTTGCTGCTGATTGGTCAGGACCGATAACCGAGTCGGGGGAACTCGTGAAGATCCCTGTCTCAATTTATTCCGGAGCGATGTATGATTAGCTATGCACATACATGCAATCACGCATAGTGGTCAGGAGCAGCAAGACCGGGCTAGTTGCCCATAATTCTCTATCAGACCTGTCAGGGCTACGTAAGACGCCATCATACGGGCTTTTATCGGGCGTCTCCATACCGAGACTTCCCAATTTTATCAGCACGGTAAACCTGGACAAACCACGTCGCCCGTGTGCTCATCGAAGCGAGTTGATGTCCAGCGCTATGGGTTGGGTGTCTGGAAAATATGTCGTCGATCCACCCGTCCCACCCAGGGGCTTGTTGGTGGGAACGTTTCCTCCCTGGCTGAGTGGATAGAAATTTATGTTAAAAAATGTTAGAATTTATTTGACCTAGAAATGCTGTAGTGTCCAATAGCACAGATGATGAAAGAGATCAGCCATCATCCGACACATCGTTTATTCCGGAGAATCGGACCATGGACACCAACTTCATCACTTGCACATAATAACCCCTGGATGAGAGAGAACCCTGATTCTTGGTACCGTCATCAGCCGACACTTGACGTTTTAGAGTGTACAAATCGGCAACGATCCCCATACTCACACCTAGTAGCTGTCAGCTACCATTCTTCTGATTCTGATAGCAAATCTCCTTATTCTTCTGATACCCTTTGCGACCATGGGGGAAGGTGAGGCCGTATGCGATTCCTCATGTGAGGCGCACGAGATTGCAACGGGGGAAAGAACACGTGGGGACCATAACTCACCCTACCCATCACATTCCATGCTATCCAGGAGACCTAAGTTGCCCCGCGGATATGAATGACGACGTTCAACAAACACTGTACTCCCTCGTAAAAGCTGAGAAGAATCCGGCATGATTAACGTGCTCATTCCCTAATAGGGAATCTCTATTGAACAAGCCAACCGCAAGCACTGCACTGGATCACTTCATTGGTACAAAAGCTCAAGACTCGCAATGCGCCATTAAAACAATTCCAGATCATGTTGGCTCATCATCTACCAATGAGTCGGAAGGCAGACCCCTGCTTCCACTCTGGATATCAACAACCACCCAGTGTGTTCTCACTGCTGTACGTGACATAGCTAACACAGACACACATTCGCTGAGAATAGCGAACATTTTCTTACAGGAAACCATCCTCATCTTTAAACTTGTCGTATAAACCGTTCATCGTATCGCCTGAGCGACTATATCATAGCCAGTAGAAAACTTACTGCCGTTACCGGTCTTTGGCACGATATTCTTCCAAACGAAAATGTAAATCGTTTCGTTGAAAGAATGCTTAATTGGCACATCTGAATGACGGAATAATCAACGGTGTTCAGGAGAGCGTCGGAAATCTGTCCCAACTGTTGTGTTCCTGTCCCCTGCTGTTCACGCTTAGACTATGGCTATAACGCTCATATGTGTGTAAACTCTCAACTATGCTTCCGTATTCAATATCATCGCTTGTGATACGTCCGGCTCAACCCGAAAACGCAGCTGACAAGGGCGTCTCAGCTCGGCATGTCAAAGGATCGGAATACCATCCTCAGTATCGTATCAATCATTGCCATGATATCATCAAGGAAGAAGATCGTCTCCGCCTACCTTGACCATTTTCTTCCGACTGCGCCTCCACATCAGGCCTAAAGATACTCTTATGTACTATGTACTTGAACTCGCCACATAGCATGTTTCCTGGAACTAGAAACTTTTGCTTCTCGATTTCGGGTAGCTCACTCCTCTCATGCCTGAGGAACATCATTCGAATCTCTTCAGTGTAAAGAAGCTTTCTGACCTCTCAACAATCACTGGAATTCTCTCCGGATATTTATGCAAAATTTTCCGCGACTCACTCCGGCGCTTTTCTGAAATAGTTTATGATCCATCACGATTTCACCATAGACCATAACTCACCTAAGCTGTGCTTGCTACGATACGAACTTGTTCGTGGACTCGCCATTAAATACAAATAAAACGATACACTCGTGAACCAAAGATTGATAAACTCAACAGAAAACTATCTTTTCGTTTGAGCGCAAAATTCCCCCTCGAGAACCCCTATGGTGATCATCACTCAAAGCTTCTTGACGTCTTCACCTACTGTGGCTCTACCACTATACACTCCTTGCAATACGAACAAGAAAGCAGTAGTGTGGCAGCAGCAGCAGAAGGTGATAATATTGGTAGTAGCGAAAAGAATGAGATACGTACCAAAGGATGAGCGACACACAGCAAAGGACTATGAAGAAGAGGACTGCGAGGTTACTCAGTAACCCGAACACTTCATCACGATCAAACAAATCCTAGACGTAATTCTTAGTTGGCGTAGTTGACAACAAACACCTGAGACGACCGACGAGGGTCCAGCTGTGAATGTCGATAAAAGGATACACCAAGACTTGATAGACCTCGTAGTCGCCAATGTTGTTGATACCTGTATGGCAGCAAGCATACTTGGGGATCGGAACCTCTTGGATCTTGCATAATCATCATACAGTAGAAGTTGTTGTTAGTGGTGGTTACGTTTGGAAATACAGATAATGAAAAGAAGAGACTATAACGATGGGAGCAGCAGCGATAGGATAATTACGATAATGTTGATGACGGGAGCCTAGTAGTTGTAGTAGTAGATGACGCGACAGCTCAGCATACACCAGCAAAGAGCCATGCATGATGTTAGTCTGCTCACATGCACAGCATATAAAACAACTCATATTCGCAACAATGATACAGTGATAAGATCAATGACCGCTCAGTCTATGGGGTCTCATTATAGCTGCCATGACGACCGTTTGCCATCTTCTACTCAGTGCACTTAACGGCGGTAATAACAACAACAACAATGATGATGACAATGAGCTCGACAACTACTACACTACTAATACTACCAATACGTCAACTTTGCATTCAGCTTTAATACAAGCTCAGAAGCAGCAGCAGCAGCAGAAAGACGACAACAATGGGAATGGTTATATTATTACACGTTGTAGGAGCTACGAGACCGAAACGAACCGAGAACTACCAGTTTAGGTGTCACCATCAGACTGACATGCACTCCATAGAGAGGGACAATAGACACTATAGGAATTACTAAGAGTCACCATCATACTGTTGCTGCTACGCTCCGCTGTATACTGATTCTCTTAGAAGTACTGACAACCAGTGTGTTTCATGACTTGTCGAGCACAGTATCTACCATAACACCAATGATACTCACATTACACGACGATATAAAGCAACTCCTCACATGCCCTCCTCGACGCCATCCATCACCATTTGCCTCGTTATCCAATACCATGTATCCGATCGAGAATCTGCACAATTCCACAAATCTCATACTAGTCACCAAACACTAAGCCCTACCGTCCCCAGGGAGAAGATAGCTGGTATCATCATCCCTTGCATTCGATATTATGCTTTCGACAGGAGACGGCATACTTCGTGGAGTGAAATCGCTCGCCAGTAACCTTACACAGAATCTCATTCGATTCTACCCAATAAACTCGTATAGATGTCCAGACTAAAGAATATATAATATTCACTCCACTGATTCGTGTCAGTAGCACGGCAAAGGCCAATATTAAAACCATCAAGGATAGACAGTAGAATTTCATCACCCTAGTGATACGAAAAACACTAGTGGAAACTGTATTCCACGACTACTGCATATCACCGCGAATAACGCGTTTTTCTTTGAGTTTCACACCACTTCACGTAAAACGGGCCGTTAAACTCCAATCTTCTGATTCTCAGGTCGCTTCACGCCTCGTAAAAATGCCATTCTTCCCAAACGTGAATTCTTTGAAAGAGGAACATCCCTTTCTTGCCCCCCCCAACTGATCATCACTGTCGCGACCCAAGGTAAACAGTGAGATTTCTGCACACATTTATTTTCCCTATAACACGTCTGAAAACATGCATATTACTAGTACTACCAACACGCAGCCAAAACATCTGATACTATTATAAAGTACATACCAACAATTCCTCCTCCTACCTTGCGTATATTGCAGCGATAAAACCCCCCACAAAGCCGTCGCCAGCGCCAATATCGTCAGAGATAGCCAGAGGGTCCAGATCTCGGACGGTATGAGTAAAGGCGTCGCAAGTGTCCGTCAAATTGCTACAGCATACGACGGGATCAGGACCTACCAAGAGGAGTGTAAAAAACTACGTGTGCTGTCCACAATATGAAAATTCTGAGAAAATTTCAGGAAATTCTCATTCGTTTCTGTACACCTTTACCCTAATTGAAAACTCCCGAGCTCAGCTGAAGGAAGCGAACATATATTCCACCAACACTGGACGATATTATCATATTAGTGTTGTTATCTATTGAAGTTAATCAGAGATCACAATACTCATCTAAACAGGAGACGAAATTCCAAAGCTCTCACGTGAACGAGTCATGCATAGTATACGTAATATCATATGAGGGACACGCTAAAAGTATAAAAGTATGTAATAAAAATTCGTGGAAGAAATTTTAAAATGTGACATTTTGACGCACGATTATATCCACGTAGCTTTAAAATATTAATCTATAGTATATAAAGTATATATATGCATATTTCTTTCAGAGCAGCACTCCTTTCACCAGCCAGATAGTAGCCAGTATAGGAGTATGGCTACGAACTCAGCAGTAACTCCGGAGTGAGCGGCGACGCCCTGGTTTATGCAGTATATATATGTAACATATATAATATATATGATAGAAATAGTGGAAAATAGTATAAAATAGTATAAAATAGTGGAAAATAGTAGAAAATAGTAGAAAATAGTGGAAAGTAGTAAAGAATGGTAGAAAATCGTAGAAAATTGTGGAAATAGTATGTACAGTATATACAGTAAGGAAAGTATATAACGTGTATTCACCTTGAGTCATGATTGCCCAAGCGCCCGGCTTCATAAACGCCGAGACCGCCTCCGCTATCTCCCTAGGGCTCATTTTAGACACCCCTACAATGCCTGACACATTGCCAAGGTCATCAAAGGCGGCGGCCCCTGAGGTTGGACTTACCGAGATGCTCAGCGAAAGCAGTGAACTCCACTTCGTTACCGAAGACAACGTCACATGCATAACGAGCCATATACGTCTGAAAGGACCGAGACGATGTGGCAGAGGAGTGGTATGAGAAAATGCCCTCACGAAATCATCGTTCTTGCAGGCCCAAGCCGCGCTGAGGCCAGCGAACAGCTTCGTATATCCAGACTTGATCTGTGGATGGTTAGGGATGTACCTGGAGGTATAGTATTCAAGAAATGGCGGATTTATGGTACTCACTCTCTGCACGCATACCCATCCCCACAAGCGTAAAACGCAGTCGTATACAATATTCTGCAATCAGTCGGAATCCCTAATAAATGAGCAACTCCCCAGAGCATCGTATTCTCTCATCTGCTCACCTCGCTCAGGGCCGGCCCGGAAATCTGGCGCCACTCCCAAATCGGTAATCATCGTCCCTAAAACCAATAATAAATCACTAATCACTTCTGCTAAAGTCATTCTACGTTTTTTGTCTTTCAAAAGCGCACAACACTTCCCAGTACGGCCACCAGGAAACACCTGTCACCACCATCGTGTCACCACCATCGTGTCACCACCCCCACACGGCAGGAGCTCACCTCAAAGTCAGTCTCAAGACCAGCCTCCACACAAGCCTCCCTCAACACATTTGCATATTCATCATCACCAACACTGCCGACGATCCGAACCGACGTGTTCGCGAAACTCACATCCTAACGACACTAGCGCTCGCCCTGATAATCGATATGAAAAATATACTCACATTGTATTCCGGATCAGCTTCGTGGCGGTCGAACCACCACTTGACGCCTCTCAAAGAGTTCATCGCCTGCCCACCAGCAATACGCTGAAATCGATCAAAAATATTTCCGACTTCCCCTTTGGTATCATTTCCACTTACATGTACGGTCAACTCGCCGTCACCTAACATTCGCGCGAACAGCTTCTTATCCTCGTCGCTCCCTAAACAAAAACCAAAATTGCAAAGGAGAATTATTCCAATAAGGAGGCACGTCCACCTAATACCATCCGTAAGCCTCTGAGTGTTCGCTTTAAGACCGAAACCATAAGCATCATCAACAGTAGCGACCAAATCCAATATAGGGTGATCGTATGATACAACGCTGAAGCTTTCAACACCACCCAAGGGACACGACGCGAATAACGACGATGACGACGACTCTTCGTCCAGGACGGAGCCAGACATACTACTGAGGGGCTTTGGAAAGACCAAGGGCTGACACCACAAATAGTAGAGAAAAAACCACACTATTATACGATACCGTAAATTCAAAACTAACTCTACGTGTCAGCCCGTCCACAACAAGCCCCCATCATAGCAGACCAAATTACCGCGCGCCACGAAATTCCCTGTCCCTTGGGTGTTGCAAACATTTTCCGATCACGACGAGCTGACACGAGAGCCCCAATTCCCCACCCTTCGCGAGCCGCTGCGTCGACGGCTCCAACCCGTAGGCCTCAAAGTCGTCGATTGTCGCTACCAAGTCCAGCAAAGGGTGGCACAGACCAACAATGCTGGCTGGCATGTCGTTCGTTATGATGCCCTCCAAATGCTGTCTACTAGCAGACGACAACAGCGATGCCACTTCCGAGTCATCATACGTGCTCAGCGTAGCCGAGATTGACGAAGAATCGTCACACGATGCAACGGCATCAACGGCAACAGCAGACGGGGAGGCGCTTGTCGCCATAAGGGTAAAGGTGGAAAATTGCTGCACAGAAAAGTCGGAAAAATTTGGGAAAAAATCCAACACAATTACTCCACTGCTTTAACATAGTAAAATATCATCCAATATTGTGTTCGCGTTTGAGCCGTTCGATCTCTTCCTTCTGGCCCTCTGCATCTAACTTCTTCTGCAGACGAGTCGCGCTGTAGTAAAGGCAAACCAAATATCGTCCTAACATCACCACCATCATAGTTACCACTCCTAAGCCAAATCGGCGCTCACCTGCCACGTTAAAGCCGCTTAAGTGATCTACTGCGTTTTTAGCATCGTAAATATCATCGTAAATCACAAATGCAGTGCCCTGAAACCACAACGACCGTTCGAAAATCAATCCTCAGAGTTAATGATACTACCTTAGTTCCGGGAGCATTCCCCTTGCGTATTTGCCGAATCGATCCGAACTTGCCGAAAACATCATAGAGCTCATCCGGTTTGATCTTATACGGTAGATTGCGCACCTGAGGTTCAACGCATTAAGATACACAATAGGCCCAATTTAGGCCTACATAGAGTATCCTGTTAACCTCTGGTGGCAGTCGTACCCGACCTCGCGAAGCCATCACAACAAATGACCAAAGACTACATGGAATAACACTCCTACCAAACCCAACACGAACCATCGACTGTCATCACTACACGAACAACATAGTCCCACATAGGAGCCAGAGGGAGACCGACAAACATGGCAGACCAGCACTCACTTCCCCC